GCTGGTCAATGGCGATAGACTGGGAGAGGGTAACATCAAGAGAGGAATCTTTCAAGGAGACTCACTATCACCACTATTGTTTGTCATTGTATTGATTCCTCTGACAACAATACTGAACAAGTCAGAACATGGCTTTCAAACATCAAAAACATCTGCCAAGTTATTTTTTATTATTATTATTAAATTTCTCCCCCGCCACTCTCCCCCCCAATGGAGGACTCTGGGCAGCTCACACAAAATGTTAAAACCATAAATATATATAAATACATAAAACACAAAAATTTTAAAAACATTACTAAAAAAGAAGAAGAGAGTCCAAGAAGATGAAGGATCTGGGGCTGAAGACAGCAGGCCTCTACGGGGTTAGCCATCCCCACGCTTAAAGTATTCCCTCCCCACCCAGGCCAAGTGGCAGAACCAGGTCTTTAAAGCCCTCTGGAAGGCCAGGCATGAGGGGGCCAATCACACCTCTGGGGGCAGAATATTCCAAAGAGTGGGGGCTACCACAGAGAAGGCCCACCTTCTGGACCCCGCTAATCAGAGCTTTTTTACCAAGGGGGTCCAAAGCATGCCCTCTCTGTGTGATTGGGTGGGACGGGTTGAAGTCATGGAGTTATCCCACCTTCTTTACATGGACAATCTGAAGCTGTATGGAAAAATACCATCAGAAATGGAATCACTACTCAACACTGTCCAAATATATAGTCAAGATATTGCAGTGGAGTTTGGACTGGACAAAACCAGCAACAGGGGGAAAATAATGAAAACTGAAGGAATCAAGTTGCCCTATGAAATAACATCAAAAGTCTTGATGAAGAAGATCACTACAAATACCTGGGCATCCTTCAGGATGACATCAAGCACACTGAAGTCAAGAAGATCAGTAGTGAATACGTCAGAAGAGTGAAGAAGATCTTAAAGTCCAGACTCAGTGGTGGAAATACCATCAAGGTGATTAACATTTGGGCAATTCCAGTCATTAGATACACAGCTGGATTAGTGGACTGGACTCAAGCTGAACTAAAAGCCCTGGATAGGAAGACCAGAAAATAGTGACAATGAACCATGCCCTTCCTCCACGCAGTGACATTGACAGACTCTAGGTGGGCATGGAATGTTACAATTATACCAGACAGTTGAAGAAGATAAAAGGGCATTGGAAGAATATCTGAAGTAAAGTAAGGAAGATGCACTGAAGCTAGTACACCATGAAGGCTTACTGAATACCAAAGAGACCAAACTGACTTATAAGAAAGACCAAATGAAGAACAGAAAAGAGATATGGCAAGGCGAAGTATTACATGGTCAGTACACAAAAAAAAAAAAAACTAGCAGGCAAAGCAGATAACAACAAGACCTGGCAATGGCTAAGAGCAGGAAAGTTGAAGAAAGAG